CCTGAACTCAGTTTTTGGGCAAGAGGATTATGAGTTCAAGGCCTTGTGAGATGATGAGAACCTGCATGATGAGAACCTGTCTCAAAAAATCCAAAAATGTAGTTAGCATAAGCTCAGGGCAAAGGGGTTAGGGAGAAGCAGGAGCAGGAATGGAGAGATAAGCAAAAGAGAAGGATCTAAACAGTGCCTCTGGACAAGGTAGACTAATAATGCCACACATTTTTGCTGGATTTAAAAACAGTCAAACAATTAGGCATTACCAATAAGTTATCACAGACTTCTTACTAAGCTTTTTTTTTTTTCAATTTCTAGTGTCCTAGTGTTCCCTTTAGCAATATTTTAAACAATGTTACTGTCGCCAACTGCTTTGATTAGTCACTATATTTTCTTTTTTTTCTTCTACAAAGGACAAAATAGTTTAGATTTCTCCAACTCTTGTTTCTAATGAAAACCAACACCTGACATGCATAAGACCCATGCACCTCCTGTTCACCTCTCCTCTATGTTTTCCCCATGGCCTAAGTCTTTTCATGTCCCCTCCAGGGCTTCTTCTGGACTCATCTGCTCCTTACCTACATCCCTGAATTGGCTACTTCTCAGCACAGAGCATGAGGTTGCCCAATTGAGTCCCATCTTTCTTGCCTCTTGATCCATGCCCCTTCTCTCAGATTAGATCACACTTCTCCCTCCCAGTCTAAGCCTAACTGCTCACTCAGTTCTTATTGCCCTCTTTGAACTTATGTGCATCTCATTTTGTTTTGTTTTTGTTGTTTTTGAGACAGGGTCTCACTATGTAGTCTAGATTGGCCTCAATTCATAATCTCCTGCTTCCACCTCCTATGTGCTAGGATGACAGGTATGTACTTCTGCAGTACTGGGGATTGGACAAGTGGGTTGCTACTGCTTAAATTTTTTAATCAGGTTCATACTTCATAACCTCTAATTCTTAACTATAATCAACTGAATGCCAATAACTATAATTTCTAATATAGAAAACTTCTTAAAATACACACTTATCTTCTAATAATCATGACCCTTTCCTTTTTCACTTCCCATCTGAGGTAACTCAGCTTTACAGACACTTCTGTGTTTATCAGAAATGGCTGTCTGATGGCCATTTGGGGACACACAGACAGGCTGATGGCTCAGTGGAGAAACAATCTCATTTCCCACATAGTCCCAGGATCAAATCAATCATTTCTAGAAAGTACAATTTTCTGAAAATAAATATAATTGTTCCACTGCCTATTTTTCTTGATATCTATGTATGCGTGTGCACACAAACACACACACACACACACACACACACATACACACAGAGCAAAACTGTAGAGCACTTTTGTTGCACAAGGAAAGCACAAATCTTATGCAAAACTCATCTTTTATTTAGAGTTGCTCTCTTGGTGCCAAATTACAAGGGTTTTTTTCTGTTCAATTGTGTCTACACTGAATGAACAGTGAGAGGAGAGAAATGAAGTGATTCTAAAAGAAAATTACGCCTTTTCCCCTTTCCTACTAAAGAAAAAGAATGAATCCAAGTACAGATATTAAAATTCTATCCAAGGTACTAGTTTACTAGCAAGAATGATGGAATTTGTGTTCTTCCTGGCCATCTCAGGATTTAAGTAATGTTATGTAGCACAACTGATGTACTGATAAATAAAAAGACAACAATCATTTACATTGAGAGTTGAGTGCAATTTCAAGGATCTGCCTTAACCAAGCTGAGTGTTTGTAGTGGAATCAATACACTACCTTACCTAGTGAAATACGTAAATGAAGTATGACTGAAATTTCAATACCAATGAATATGGATCAAAGAGAAATCAAATCAGTTGAAAGAATGGGTTCTGGAAATCACACAATGATGGCATTTTTGAACACATAATATTCTGTGAAATCCAGGAAAGCAAACAGATGTTTGCTTCCTTATCTCCTCTTTCTTCAAGCATTTGTCTATCATTTGGGAGACGCTTTCTTGTACTGCAGTTTGATTACATGTGCATTTTGCAAATTTCCAGATGTGTTCAAATGTTTTAATCTACATTATGGCTTTATAATTTAGGTCCATATGATTCCCTAATCAGAGTTCTTATTTCTCTAAACATTAAATGAAACTGAGAGCTTTAATATACTCCATTCATTTCAGAAGGACTATGGATATTTTTTTTCCAAACTAGTCTTTCTAGATATATTGCTCTTCTATCTTTTCAATAGAAAATCAGTCCCATTATGTTGTACTATATAATGAATCCCTTGGAGAGGAATATTCACTTTTCTGCTAAAAGGAAGAAAAAGAAGAAAAAATAAAAACCCCACCTTGCCAGGTGAGGTTGAGATAATCTCTTCTCTCAAATTTGTACCAAGATAATTTGCCCGTTTTAAGATAGGCATCCTTCCAGTAAAGATGGTATCTGTAATGGCTTTCCCTATAATGATTACTGAATAGTGGCCTAGAAGAATTGATAATGATTCTAGCACTATGGATTTTGATGATGAAGACGGATACCAAGTTTATTAATTTCAAGATGCTAACATTGTAGAAGAAGCTGTAATGGATACAGAATGCAAACTGACCCTGGCAAATTCAAGGAACATTCCCTCAATAATGAGGTGCTGTTTAATCAAAGCAGAGAACTGCTAAACTTGGAAACAAGGGTGATATGACCACTGAGGTAGAGGGCATACAATGGAAAACTAAATCTGACTTCAGAGAGTTAGGCCTGATGAAATGATGTAAAGCCAGTGGTATAAAAACATGGTTTTAGACTCTGTTAAGTGTTTGAATCTGTTTTTCTTTTTTTTTAAATTGAGACAAAGGAATACCTGAGGATATCTATAATAACTAGTGAGTTCCTAAAGTCTCCCAAACAACTAGAAATGTATAAAAGTAAACAAGAAAATAATGTCTCAGTATGGCCTATGATAGAAAATTCGAACAGTAGTTTAGAAGATACCTGACATTTTAAAAGACAGGGAAGAATTGCCCAAAGAGAAATTCTTCTAAATGTTAAGACATGGAAAATCTGTACACAGACATGGATAGAATCTGAATTAAGGGTATGAAGGTAAAATGGAGAAAAAGAGAAAATGTGTAAAGGGAGTCTGGATGAGAATACAAGAAAACAGGGAATAACTGGCTGCTTTTGAGAAATAGTTAGGATTTCTGTTTCCTGCAGTTAGGAGCCATTGAAACTGGGTGACCTCTAACCCTTCTGATTAGATGCTTCACAGTAGAACTCCGACTGCTGCATGGGCTACCCATTATTGCTGAGTCTGAGCAACTGAGATTGACCTAACTGATGTTTCCAAGGCCAAGGTCAGAGCATAAATTTTCATCTAATGAAATCTCAATCCTGCTGGGTAGTGGTAGGGGTTGTTGGTACCAGTGGTGGGGGAATGGATGGAGAAAGGGTATAGAAAGGTGAATATGGTACAAATACTGTATACACATAGATGTAAATGGAAAATGATACCTGTTGAAACTAATCCAGAAATGGTGGAAGGGGGGGAAAGAAATACGGTGGAGGGGATGAATTCAAGTATGATATTTGATATATTACAGGAACTTTTTGTAAATGCCACAATGTACCGCACCCAGCACAGCAATAAAAAAAAGAGAATGGATAAATAAATAAATAAATAAAAGCTCAGGCTTTTGCAGGAAAATAATATCTAACCAATAGCTGTTAAGGTTCTTGTGTACTGGCCGGACCTGAGGAATGTGTACCTTGGTCTAATAGATTAGTGCAACCCCTCACCACACACACACATCTACTCAGGGGGTCTGAGGAGTGCCAGGAGCATCTCTAGCTATGACGCAATCTCAAACTCAGACTAGAGCTCTTCTATATTGCAGAGTTCTCACAAACTGCACCTATAAATGGCAAACACGAACGCCTTACAAGAGCTGCTATACTGCATAATTCAACAGAATAAGATAACAATTGAGTCATAGAATCCTGAAGATTTTTTTTAAATAAAAAATTTCCACGATTCCACCCAAATCTGACTTCACCATCAATCAATATATTCTGTTTTGGCTTCTGGTTTTATGAACTGAGACTTGTGTATATTTCAACTGCTTAGCTCATGATAGTGCAGTGAAAATGTGATCAAATATAACTGGTTTTTCAAAGGCTCTTGAAATCAAATTCTGCAAAAGGAACCCATAGACAACTGTATATACTCCAAGTGTGAATGGAAAGGTTTCCTTGGACTATGCTCCTCAGAATCATAGATCACATTGAAGGGAGTCTATTCTAACAGCAAAGGTAAAAAATCTAAATCCCTCTGAAAAAAAAAATAGAAATTTCATTTATACAGGTTAATGAACTTTTGACAGGTTCACACTTGGGGTTATTCCAGCCTTCCTTTGTTCCTTTCTGGGAAGAATAAATTTATTTTATTCATTCCCTGTAAAAGTTATGCTTTGTAATTTTCAGTTATATAAATCACAATGGAATGAGAAATTGGGCCTAGATGTTGGGAATAAACTTAAAGCTGTTCAAACAAAGATTTCACAATGTTCTTACAATCATTTATTTCCTTTTAAAGGATGGTTATATAGCTGGGCGTGGTGGCTTATGCCTATGGCCAGCCTGGGCAGAAACTTAAGTGAGATCCTATGTGAAAAACAAACTAAAAGCAACAGGACATGGGGTGTGGCTCTCGTGGTAGAGTTCCTGCCTAGCAGGTGTGAGACCCTGAGTTCAAACCCCAGTACTGCCTAAAAAAATTATTATACATTAAACATTCAATTGAGACCAGGACTTTGTTCCTTATTTTCAGAAGAACAGCCCACTTATATCAGAACAAATAATATTTGATCACCTATTCAAATCCTTTCATTTTCCTGAACCATTTCCTTTAATGAATCTGCATGGCTTTACATGCAGATTGAGGTTTGCAGCAAATCCCTGGAAAACACACTGGAGAAATTAACCAACTTGGTTTTAGCTTTCTTCTCTCTTGAGCCAGCCCACCCCTCCATTTCGTACCTGACAGGTGCACCTCTGCTCTGTGCAGGCTTCAGCATTACTGTCACTGTATTGTCAGTTTGATTCAAAGGTGTCTCAAGTTCATAAGCTGGCATAGACGGTGCTGGGGAAAATCATTAGATGGGAGACCCATTATTTCTGGTTTATCTTCTTTATTTACTTTCTACTTTGTTTTACAAAATTCATTAAGAACACAATACACTTACTTTAAATGGTAGCTATCAGCTGACTGTAAACAGGTTTATGTATATATCCTACACAGAAAAACAGGGGCAGCTGTTAAAACTAGCACACACCGAATAACCTCTTCTATCTTGAGTTGAAGTTGGGAGAGGGTGAGACTGGGTTGTGTGAGGTGTCAGTGATATTCTGATTTTTTATTCATCGTGCACTTTTATATAAATGCACTATCTTTAGGAAACCATTTACTTTAAAGGCATTTTTAAGTTTTGAAATAATCAGTAGGGTCATAAAATCGGGACTTTACAATTCTTCCTTCAAAGTCCAGGTTTCTCACACACCAAGGGTCCATCCTGGAATTTAAAGAGGACAGTGGGAGCCAGAGAGACTTGTTGGAGTTAGGTGGAGACAACTTGGAGACTCTTGGGGAAAGCATGAGGGTGGGACACATGTGGGAACTAAAGACAGAATGACTTATATTTGATCTTGGATGTGTTTTGATTTAACCAGCACAACAGCTTAGGTACAGTCATCATCTCTGGAGCATCAGCTGAGGCATCTCTCAGAACAGGGGAAAGAACCTTCCACAGTTATTGTGGCAGTTCAGAGATACATAGGAGTGTGCCAGGCATGTTTACAAAGGTTAGCTTTCTTTCAAGGCCATCTGCTGGCATTCTTTCTTCTCTGGATTGGTAAATCTCACTGTACTAAGTCAGCTACAGCACTTTTCAACAATCACATCCCCACCCTGGGCAAGACCAATCATCATGTGGGAGGCACAGCTTTCTACACTCACAGGAAGAGGTAAGTGATGGTGCAGCTGGAGATCATGTCTTGCAAATACAGCTTTTAAAATGGTCTTCCATATAAAAAAAGCTTTTTTTGAAAGAGACATGAGTTATTTCTCATTTTCACCTAACACATTTCCTCAGCATTCAAAATTAACTCTGATTCATAGCACAGAATTACATTTTGGGGTATGAGACCAGTTCCCTTAAGTCCATGAAAATAGAAGATAGGGCCCATGAGCTGTAACTTTTTTTTTTTTTTTTTTTGAGATGGAGTCTCACTGTTGGGCCAGGTTGAACTCCTGGGCTCAAGTAATCCTCCTGCCTCAGCTTCCAAGAGTAGCAGAAAGTCATGCCTGGCAACTTTTTTAATACTAGAAAAATCAAACAGCTACCCTTGAGAAGCTTTGCATACACAAACTAAAATGTCAAGTTTCTTTGCTTTTGGGTAAAATTATATGAACTTGCCATACTAACGGTGGTCATACTCATCTTGGATGGAATTTCTGTCTAACAAATATGGGAAAAGTGAATTTTTTTCTAAAAGAATACCTCATTAAAATAATGATACTTGAAACATGTTCTCCTCTGGGGAAGATATTTAAAAATTACTTAAGAGATATTCATATTAGAACATTTCCTCCTTAAGTCCCCATGATAAACTGATGGACCAGATCCTTTTTTTTTTTTTTTTTCAGTACTGGGGCTTGAACTCATGGCCTTCACCTTGAGCCACTCCACCAGACCTATTTTGTGTATGTGTGTGTGTGAAGGGCTTTTTGAGATAGGGTCTCTCAAACTATTTGCCTGGGCTGGCTCTGAACCAAGATTCTCCTGATCTCTGTCTCCTGAATAGCTAGGATTACAGGTATGAGCCACCAGGGCCCAGCTGGACCAGATCTGGATTAATATCAGAGAGGAAGTACGTTGACAATACTAATTAAAACCCACATTTTCTGACTCCACATCTAGTTGCCTTTCTACTTATCTATTTTACAACCTAAGCCCTTTGCTTACTCCCAAGGATGACTTCTTTTTCAACTCTTCATTGTTCCTATAACCTAATGCTTCACATTGGATATCAAATCTGAATTAAATTTCTAGTCAAGTTTGTACCCCTAAATAAAACCTGAAAAAGTATCACTTGGATTATAATTGCTGAAAACCAAAATTTCAAACCTCCCTCCTTCCTTCCCTCCTTCAAAAAGAACACTTATGATACTCTAATTGGAGATATTCCCTTCCATCTATTCCAAAGAAAACCTTTTGCAAAGCTAGGATTGAAGGATAATAGTTGCAACAATTATGCTGATTCTTGTTAATCTAACCCTGACTGATATAGTTACCTCCCTCCCCCACCTCCATCTCATCTACCCCTGTTATGGTTTGAGTATAAAACTTCCCCAAAGGCTTATGTGTTGAAGGCTTGGTTGCCAGCCAGTTGCACCACTGAAAGATGATTGGGTCATGAGGGCACTGAATGGACCATTAGGAGGTGGGGCTACTCAGAGCAAGTAGGCACTAGAGGTGTGCCTTTAAAGGGTGTATCTTGTCCCTAGAAAATTCCTCCCTCCCTTTCTCTCTCTCTCTCTCTCTGCTTCCTAGCTACCAAGAGGAGATTGGCTTTGTCCATCACACGTTCTCCACCATGATGTTTGGTCTCCTTACAGGCCCAAAGTGATAGGGCCAAGTGACCATGAGCTGAGGCCTCTGAAATCATGAGCCAAAACAAATGTCTCCTCTTTTAAGTTGTTTCTTTTTAGGTATTTTGACACAATGAAAGAAGGCTAATATAACTCAAAAAGCAATCAAAGCCAAAAAAAAATTTCCACATTCATACCTAAAAGAAGTGTGTGTGTGTGGGGGGGAAGAAAAATAAGAGAAAGAATTCTGTTTACTGAGGTTACTTATACCATACCAAGTGGCAACTTCTTTTCCTCTGCTCTGAAATACAAAGCCATTTTATGCATAGTTCAACATGCCCAGAAATATTTTTCAAATTACATCTTTTCTTGGATGATATAACTGAGTCTCTAAAAGCAAAAAGTTGGAGGTCCTAGTGCCTGGTCCCATTCTATAAGTCACCTCTCTCTGCATGATAGAAAACTACTTGCAGTGAAGGTCAGCCAAGGAAGGCTGATCCTTCTGGAGGCAGACTGCCAATGACACTGCTTTCTGCTGATTTCATAGTTCATGACATAGGTTTTTCTAACACTGCCGCTCTGCTTTCTTGGGACTGTATAGGCTCAGAGTGCCTTAACAGAATCTTTTGCCTCATGTCCAAGTCCTCCAAGCCAAACTGCTAAAATAGCAGCCACGTCATAACATAGGAGGACCTGAAGTTCCCAAATGATAAATATTTATACTATTTCATTTATTTCCATGAGTCTGAATTTTTGGCACCCAGAGGAGCTTATATAACAAAGATGTGTTGATTATGTTTATGCTTCTCATTCTTGATAATAGGGATGTAAAGGCACAAAAATGCCTCTTTTGATAAAAGGAATAAGTTGTGAATGCGTATTACCTGATATTTTGGTTGTGAACTGGTTTGTTGCTGGAGGTCCAAAACCCTTTGCTGTGCTTGCTCGGATGGTAAAGGAGTATGTGGTCCCAGGATATAGTCCAAAAAACAGAAAATGGGTCTCGTTTCCCAGTTTTGAGACTCTTCCACTTTGATTGGATAAATCTATTTCTGGGTCAAAGGAACTGACTGCTTTGTAGGTGATCTGCAAAAGAATAAGACTGCAATGAAATCTGCAGCAGATGGACCTAGACAGCATCTTTTATCTATGCAGCCCTCCTGACAGATGCACTATCAGACCCCGTATAATGAGATCTTCTCTCCACTCGGACCCTGCAAATCCAGGATCCAGTGAAGGGCACAGGAACTCAGCCAAAACTGTTAGGAGTTGTTATGTTTATAGACAGGAACTTAAAGCCGGTAGATTAGAACATGAAGTACAAATTCAGGTCTAAACTGATACCTTGAAGTTATTTGCTTCCAAAATGTCATTTTTATAAAACTATACCACAGCTGGTTTAGAACACAATAATAAAATAGACAATACCTTAAACAGATAAAGCATTGATAAGCATAAGGCCTCATCTGTAATCTAGTGGCCATAATTTGATTTAGCACTATTTTAATAGGACTATTGTCTATTGGGAACAAGGACATTTTAGCGTGGTATTTATACACAATGGGATTTTACTCAGCCACAAAGAAGAATGAAATTTTGTCATTCATAGGTAAGTGGATAGAATAGGAAAATATCATCTTTAAGTGAAGTTAGCCAGGGTCAGAAGGCCATGTTCTCCCTCACATGTGGATTGTAGAACTAAAACAAATGCAGCATTATCTTGGGACACAGTCACACTAAAGGGAGGCTGTGCAAAGGAGGGATAATGCAAGGGAAGGAAAGCAAAAACTTGAATGTGGTTGATGTGCTCACTGTACAGGAATGAATATAGAAAAGTTAAACTGGCTGGGGCCACCATGGGAAGCAGACTAGGGAGGAGTGAAGAGGACTGGAAGAGGTGAATCAATTGGAGCTGTAGTACATATATGTATGGGAACAACACAAGGCAGCTACCTGTGTAGGTATCTTTATCTCAAACTAGCAAAACTGTCATGTTTCTTGGTTTATCTTTTATGTTTTTTCCTCTACAAAATCTGAAAACAGGAGGGCAGAACGGTTCTGCCCTGGTGAGGTTGGGGGTGGCACTAGTGGGAGGGGAGAGATGGCAAGGAAAGGGGTAGGAGGATGAATATGGTGCAAAAAAATGTATATACATGTATGCAAATGCAAAAATGATATCTACTGAAACTGTTCCAGAATTCAGGGAAGGGGGGAGGGGGAAGAGAAGTAGAGTGGGGGAATTCAAGTATCATATATTTGATACATTGTAAGAACCTTTGTAAATGCTGCAATGTACCCACACCCAGCACAACAAGGGAAGGGGAAGGGGAAGGGGAAGGGGAAGGGGAAGGGGAAGAGGAAGGGCGAAGGGGGAAGGGAAGGGGAGGGAAGGGAAGGGAAGGGAAGAAGAAAGAAAAAAGGAAAGAAAAGAAAAGAAAAGAAACTCCATTCACAGGAGATGTAAAATCATGAGGACCTGAGGATGAAAAATGATATTTAAATAGAGAAAATTAGCAACGCTGAGATGGTCTAAATCTGACTATCTACATTTAAATAGAGGATTAAAGTAGTCCTGCTGAGCCTGTCTTCTGTGGACTGGATGGGCATACTGATAAATAAAGTATATTTTGAGGCAAAAAAGATAAAAAGAACATGTTTAAGTGTTTTCATCCATGTGGGCAAAGATGTCTGCTCCAAAAATAAATCCTAGACTCATGCCAATCGTTCTCCATTCAGTGAATGGAGTGCTCAGTAAGGATCATATTCATTTTTTTCTAGGGCAATACTGTTCAACAGAACTTTCAGTCATGATGGAAATGTTCTATTCTACACTGTTTATTTCAATATGGTGGCTACAAGGCAAATGTGGCTAGTGAGCACTTGAAATGTGGTTCTCAAGAAAAAGGAACTCAAATTTTTATTCAGTTTAATATTTTTGGTGGTACTGGAGTTTTGAACTCAGGGTGTCACACTTGCCAGGCTGGTGCTCTACCACTTAAGTCACTCTGCCAGCCCTATTTTGTTTAATTTTAATTAGATAAATTTACACCACCATGAGTGACTAGCAGCTGCCATACTGAAAAGTGCAACTCTAGAAATTTTCATGGTGTTTGCTTCACAACAGGTATCCTCATGTTGGATGAGTCTGGAATGTTTGGAAATAAATAGAACATAGGTGCCTTTAAATGTTGCCTTTTCAAGTGACTTTCTAAAAGAATTTCAGTATGAGTAATTCATCAGCCATTCAAGAACATGTACTTTAGTGGTGATTACTAACTTCTACTGGTTGTAATGACATAATTTTTAAATGTGGCATATTCAAAAGTTCTAAATTGCAAAACTGAGCACTTTTCTTGCTTCTAAATAGGTAAACTTACTCATAATTTATGTGCATGAAACAGTAACACTGTTATTATATGGAGTGATAATTGACATTCTTTCTTCTTATATTTATACCATGTCATTATAATTAAGAAGACCTCTCTGAAAGAATATTTAGATTGCATCAGCTTGCTGTATATATTAATCACGGCAATGCATGACACCATCAGAGTCAAGCAGAAGATCTGTTGCTCCCCATCTATCTGATTTCCTTCTTAAGGTGGAAAAAGTCAAGAAAGGCAAGACCAGATCTATCACCCAGCTGCTCAGGGAGGGACCACAGCCACATATCCTCTGTGTGCTGCTTGCCTGCTTCTCCATTCTGGAACCCTGAGAAAAGGGTAGCTTAAAGAAGGGAGACAGAAAATGGAAAAATGATTCCTGTTGAAACTATTCCAAGAAAGGGGGAGAAGGGGGAATAAAGGAGAATGGTAGAGAGGGTCAATTCAACCATGATATATTTGATATATTGCAAGAACTTTTGTAAATGCCACAATTTACCCTCACCCAGCACAACAACAGAAAGAAGGCAAACATCATAAAAAGAAAAGAAAAGACAGAAACTGTGGCAGCATAATTGCTCCCCCAAATTTACTAATTCATTCATTCACACAAACAAACCAAGCTGAGTGCTTCAAACATGCCTAGCACTGTGCTCTGAGCTGAGGTCTCACCTAGTAACTTCATCTGCCTTGAAGGGGTAACCTTATGGTGGGGGCAGGTGGACAGGCCATCCAACACTTAGGATACAGTACATCACAATAAGAATGACCACTTCCTACCAAGGCTACCTTAGTCTTTTTGTTTATTTTATTACATTGACCAGAAACTAATGTGACACAAATGAATACAGGACAAAGTTCACACTCCTTTGCTTCCGGCTTCAGACCTGCAGCAACACCACATTACATCACCCTCTGTTCTTTCAGGGGATGCAGAAGCATAGTCCTACAGACACTTATAGGGCCTTGCTGACACTGCTCTGTTTCATGGACTTTCACCTGCCCGAAATGCAACAGAGTTGCCTGTGGGCCAGGTTCTATTTGAATGTGCTGGTTCCATTCACACACTGCCTGAACAATGCCATTCAACAAGCACTGTGGTCAGCAGGTGGACCAGGCTCTGTCTTCAGGAAGTGAGGAATCTGGACGAGGTGTTGTAGAGCTGGGAGCCCTGTAGTAAGCAAATTAATAATCTAAAAACCCTAAATATGGAAGAAACAAGCATGGTACTAAGATAAAAAGCATTATGGGGGACAAGAGTCTACCTACAGCCATTCAGAATGGCTGAGGAAGGAAATGTCAGTGAATTTGAGGGGGACTTGAGCTTCGTGAAGGGCTAGTTAGGCCATGAGTTTGGAGAAGAATAGCATGGAATAAGACAATGCAGTGGGCAAGCTTTGAGCCCAGGTAATGAATAAACAAGGCCTATGTAGTCTCTAGGGGCTAGAGGAGCGGGCATGGGCTAAATCATGCCTTGCTTTGTACTCTAAGATAAAACATTTGGATACACATAACAGGGTGCATTTGAATATTTTAAAATGTGAAATGAAATAATTTGGTTTGTTTTATAAAAAGATAAACCTTAGCTATCAGGTGGGAGTTTGATTTGATTGGAGGGGGTAATAGAAGTGGGAGAGAAGACACTAGGAACCATGCAGAACCTAGGGGCTAGAGCTGGGGTATGTGTGACAGCACAGAGTGGCTTAGATCAAGGTGGGGTGGGAATAATGAAATGAAAAGACCTGGGATATTTTAGCGAGAAGCCAGAATTCAGTGATGTATTGTATATACAGAAAAGATGGAAGAAGCAAGAATATATGCTTTGTTTTGGAGTTGGGCAAAAGATGGTCTTGCTTATTGAATTGGGATAGAATAAATTACAGATGTATGTGGACATGTTCAGTTTGAAATGCTCACGACAGTAGAATAGTCCATATGTGCACCGCATAAAGCTGGAATTTCAGAGACCACTGGGCTGGAAATAGAGATTTGGGGGTGATCATGCTTGAAATGATATCAGAAAGGCTTAGCAATGGGTAGGGAGAGGAGAAAATAGAAGAGGCCCAGTTCCACACCCTAGTGAACACTGATGTTTAATGTAGGATTGAGAAGGAGAAGCCAACAAAGAGTCAGAAAACCAGGAAGAAATTCAAAGAGAGAGAGGAAGAAGTAGAGGGAGAGGAAGTGAGCTGTCATGCACATCAAAAGAGAAAAGAAAGATTTTAAGAAGGAAATGGTTTCAAAGAAGCTGCTGAGAGTTCAGGTGAGGTTCGGATAAACAGGTGCCCACTCACGTTTCAGGCCAGAGCCTGAATTTTGCTTATCTGTAAATCCTTCCTAAGTCTGGCTTATCAATCAGCCAACACCTACTGCAGAGACTGTGCACATGTACTCCATTTGGCGATGAATCATAGATGCTGTATCATTTCTAGTTCAGTCTTAAATCACAACCTCAATTTGTCAGAGGAATCAGAACATCTCATGTAATTGTATCCCCTTTCTGAGGAGTGACTGATGTCTCATTCCTCTTTCTGATCCCACTGTGATCAGTAAATATTTGGCACTTGGTATTTATTTTCCTAAAAAGACTCCTAGGGTGGGGGAAGCAGATGTGTGCCTGTACTCATGTAGACCTCCACACGACAGCAAGCAGGGTCCTTGCTCTGCCAGTGCAGGTGAAAAAGCAGAGGCTTCAGGCAGAGACTACTGCCAGGCCGATGGGATGAGAGTTGTCTGTGGCCATGCTTCTCCAGAATAAGGTACACTGGGGGACCTGGACTATCTTTTAGTTACAATCCTTCCGTAATTTGGTAAAAATTATAGATCCTCTCTCCCTGCTCCTGCAAAATGCATGTATATAATTAATCCATGCCCTCTTAAAATTATGAATCCATTTCCCTACCTCTACTATGTTGGGCAGCTATGTGAATGTGAAATGTCAGAAGTTCATAGCTTTAAACCTACTTACAAAGCCCTGGGAGTCAGAATTCCAGGAATAAAGAACACTCCTCAGGACTAGGGGCAACCAAACTTCATCATTTTACCACCACCTGCCACAGAGGCCACAGGTGGCACAGAGCTGCTGATCTGGGCAGCAATGCTCAAGGTACAACTGTATGGCCCCATGCTCAAACTTGTAAGTCACATGTCCCTCAGGCATTTATCTTTTTCATTTGTTCATTCAATGAATGTTTCTTAAGTGTCTATTAAGGACTATGCAGGAGAAAGAGCAGCAGGAAGCTCCCAGAAGCAGGGTCGGGAAAGCTTTTACACCTGCACCATGTTGTTGCCTGTGGGTGAGGGCATTTAGTTGAAGCCTCTATAAAGAACACTGAAGGTGCCATGTGGGATCCAGGTCATTTTATGGGATGCCTCAAGAGGAAAATACAGATACTAAAACAACATGGTAGGGACAGGGAATGTTACATTTAGGAAAGATGGAATAAACTGTTGCTTATGTTGAATGGTTCCTGATTTGGAGGTAAGTGCCTGAAATCATCCAAAATTATTATCCCCTTAACGTATCAAATTCTAAGTTGAGAGTTTCATAGAGAGCAAAATGGAATAACAGTTTAGGGAACTGAACTATTCTAGGGAGTATGAGAATTGCAGCCAGTATAAAATATAGGCCTTTAATTGAAGTCTGAGCAATTTACCCTGTGAACACAAAGTAATGAATAATTAAATCTGATTTCAGGGGTGTAAAGGACCTAGAAAACTTCGAAGTAAAGAACAGTATTTGAATGAAATACTGAAGGAGCAGTGGAAGTACATACACTGTGTGAGGAGAGCAGAAGGAAGTCATAGGAGGACAGATGCAATCAGCGCAAGTAGAGTGGTACAAGAATTCAGAAAGTTCTTAAAGCAAAGACCATTTTGTATGCACGGATGATTAAGTTCAGAAGAAAAACAATGGGAGATAAAACAGTAAATATAAATTGGGATTAGATCATGGGAGCTCCTGAGTATTGAATCCAAGCTTCTTAACAAGGCCCTTCAATTCTTATTCCTTCTACATTATTACTGATCTCAGTTGATAGCAACTGAGCCTCAAGTCATCAAGGCTCCTGACATCTGGTGATGTCTTCAACTCTTGACATGTCAAAGTCCTAACTGACTGACAAGCCTAGCTCCTTCCACTCTAGTTTGTACCTGAACAAAACTGTACTTTATCTGCTATCTACATGTTAAACTGAGCACCTGAATTTGGTACCTAATTTCTTCTTTCCATAGTTAGTTTCCATGTGGAAGTTGCATGTAGAATATACAACACAGAACTATTTTTTTTGTTTTATCTTCTTTCAATTCTTACACATATTAAATATTTTTATTAAAAAAAAACCTATTTATAGGTTACTCTCATGACTAAGAGTCTGAATTTATTCACTATGTAATTGAGAGCTAAGTTAATGAGGTATGTGAAAATATCTGGATGCATACCCATGAACATTTGGGAGTATTACTAACTAATAAACTTCTAGAAATAGGTTAGATATGCAATGTTTAAATCATGATAGAAACTCTCCAATTGCCTATAACAGATGTTGTAAAATATATTTCTCCGGCATCATCTATGAATGTACACATTTCTCCATGTCACTAATTAATACCTGATATTACAGAAATTTTAAATTTCTGCACCAGTTAGTTCATTGCTTAATCATTGATATGGTTGGGCAGGCATATTACCATATGCTTGCATACCACTGAGATTTTTTTCCTGAGTTGCCTCCTCTTACTCTTTGTTCAAGTTTTTCTGAATGAGTTGTTCTGTCTTTTACTTATTAATCTGAATGAAGTCTCTGTGTATCACAAGTAAAAGTATTTTTCCCTATGAGGTGAAAATAATTTGTCTAAGTCCTCTTTTATATTTAGACTTTCTTCATGGTATCCTTCACTGTTCATTAACTTTTAAATCTTTTTGTTTTTTGAGGCACGGTCTTGCTACATAAACCAGGTTGTCCTCAAATTTGTGCTCCCCCTGCCTCAACCTCTCAAGTTCTCAAGTGTGATTACATCATGCCCAGCTGCAGCTGAAAAATCTCATATAACCAAATTGGCCAATCCTTTTTAAATGACTTCCAAGAACAATAGAAATCTAACATGCTTATTTACATCTACAGTAATCTCCTTTTACTTCTCTCCTCCAAAAACCACACAACTGTGTTATTTGATCCACAGAAACACCTGTGACATTTATTACTACAGTTTTTTCCAACCATGATCATTTACCTCACCTTCCAGAATTTACCTATATTCAAATGTGACTCCATGACAGAATCCACTCTTCCTATGGTCCCTGCATCTTTGGGGCAACTGTTTTATTCTCTTAACATGATCTCTGTCCCAAAAGACCATATCCTTCAGAGAGAGGACCCAGTCTGGTTCCACACTGATCTTCCGTGTCAGCAGGGAGCTGTGGATTCTGTGGACTCTGGTGTAGGCTGGATGAATAACAGCACACAGATACACCTCAGCTAATGAAGAGTCCCTTCCTGAGATTCCATCTACAGTCTACCTTAAGGAACCTGGGAACTCTCTTTCTTCCCTCTTCTAGATATCAGGTGGGAAAGATTTGTGCCCAGAAAACTTGTATTTAATCACTTAAGTCCAATTCACACATTTGACATTTCCCCCTTGGATCTGTAGAAAAATGAGCCAACCCGCTCCACTTACAAATATCTGATTTTTAAGACCTTGATGTACGACACGTCCACACATCCCCACTGTACCAGCATTTAGATCAGTGCTCAACTGGGAGAGCCTAGCTGCTGAGTCAGAGAGTAATGAGTTCTTCCTTTGAATTATTATTTTCCCTGGTGTTTTCAATGGTGAAATTACTTATCACACAAAGATATATGTCCAGTGGGATTAGAAAGAAAGAACCTTGCTTTTATTTTCTGTCAGTCTAGATAGCAACATGTAGCTTTTAGGACAAGCAGGCTTACTGCTTGGATATTAAAGTGGACTTCAAAGACTACCTTCTCCTGTAAAAAAATATTGTTATTCTTAAGTAAGAACCCCCAAAACAGAGACCTAAAGATAGTCATAGGACCAAAAATATGAAGTAAAGGATTCTCATCACTAAGAAAAAAACTAAACTTGTTTGATTTAATTATAAAACTTAGCTCTATAACAGCTGAGCCATGAATTTTCATACCAGTAAAATAGCCAATGAACATCAATAATAACAGCATAAAATCAACTTTTTTCTTTTATCTTTCTTCATTTTGCTATTAATTTCTTTTCTTTTGCATTTCAATACCAATTTTCAAAAGGTTTAAGGAAACACCAATGGGAGGCTAACAGGGTCAGAGAAGGGGTTCACCAATGATTACTGCTGACAGCTCATCTGCACAGGCTTCTGTCAATAGTTCTGAAAGGTATTCAGGTGGGGCTTCCACATGAGGATCTGCCACGATTTTTAGAAGCCTTACAACATATAATTTTGTTGAATTTGCATTCAAATGAATGCTAGCTTTAAAAAATGCACCTGCTTGTTTCTATGACAATAGGTACAATGAAATGATGCTCACACAGATGTGCTGATGAGTGTTGCCTTGTTACTGCTGTGATTTTTTTCCTTGAATAATTCATCAAATTCTTCTCTGCTATCTATCGCTCAACTGTTTGATATGCCTCAGTAGACAAAACTGTGTCAATGAAGTCTAACAAATGTTTTGCTAGTACTAAGAAACCAAAAGACATTATTCTATGGTTAATCCTGAGACAAGTTTTCTGACTTTGCTAATTGAATAATCAGCATTCTTCTATAATTCAGCAGAAAAAATTCTCATAGCAAAGAAAGAATAGAATTCAGTGCTTGCCTTTTAGCGTATGTTTCAAAATACTGTTTTCACAAATGGTGAATTTTTTAAAAAAATGTTATACTGTGGTTAACATAGAATACAGAATCATCCAAATATGTATCTGAAATTATACATAACTCAAAACTTCATTTAAAAAATTTTGCTTCTATATGATAACCCTTAAACTACAGAAAGCATTAAATGTCTCAAAAGGCACTGTTAAATTATGTATATTTAAAATACTAGACAGCCCAGATTATCATAAGGAATTATATTGGAAAACTAAATTACTGACAAATGTATATACTACCTCATACAAAGTGATGACACCATATGTTTGAGTTGGTTCTCTCCACTGCAGAAATATCTTCTCTTCAAAGGTGCTTCCTTGGATGGATTCAGTAGGAACAGCACCTGGGACTGAAGGAGGGTGGAGAGAGATGAATGTATGGCTAATAAACCAATCCTCCATCCCAAGTAGGTTTTAACCTTCTGTTGAGGTATAATAGTCTAAGATAAACACAAATTTATTTTCAAAATCTGAAATCTAAAGCCATTTTAGGTATGCTGTCCTTACAGAAAAAATAATTATTTTTTCTTTAAAGTGTGAGTCAATTAGACAAAGCTCAGTAATTATCTTTATATGAACTTTTTCACTCTCTTCCCAAAGCAATGAAGGATATGGAATTAGGAGAGTTCACACACACTGCTTGTGGGAGTGTAAGTTGATATAATCCGTCTTGAAAGTTATCACGTAGTATTTAGTAAAACCAAAGATACACAAACCAACCTGAACATGGTGGTTCAAACTTGTAATCCCAGCACTTGGTAGGCTGAGGCAGGAGGATCTTAAGTTCAAGAACATATAGGATATATAATAAGATGCTATCCTCAAAACTATACACATGTATGTATGTATACACATACCATATGACTACAAAAATGACAGCTCCAGGTATACCCCTTGGTAAAATTTGTACACACAGGTAACAGGAGACATATATAAGAATGCCAACATAGCAGTGCATTTCAATAATAATAAAAATGTAAAACAGAAATAACCTGAAGGCTTTAATAAATTATATTCATATGATGAATTACTGAAAAAAGTGAAAGCAAATGACAGTTCTATAAACCATCATGGATATAATTTATAACCATAATGCTGAGTGACAAAGCATGTCAAAGAAGAATATGTGGGGAAGCTGCTTGCAGGCTGAGGTGGGGTATCGCTAGTTCAAGGCCAGCTTGGGCAACATAGGGAGACCCTCATCTCCAAAAAGAGGAAAATATACATATATTACAGATATAAATATGTTCTTTATTAATATAACTATTGAAAACACATAAGAGTATAAAACAGTTAATCAAAGGACATCTTAAAAGGATAAACTTATTAAAATGTCTTGGAGGAGACCCTGTAATTGAAGGTAATGTGAAAATGTTGACAGAAAAACTTTATGTGGGTTCATATAATTTTCTTAAGATCAAGAACAGAAAATGAATTTTAAAAATATCAGAAGATTAATTAAATTAGAGAAGATAAGATGTCATAGATATGACTTGTTTCATACTTGTTTTTAGATGTTCTAGGACTTCAGGATTTGGGATATGAAGCTATACTATCTAAATTTGTGTAACTCAGTCCTATGCTGCCTAGTGAAACTCCTAACAGTAATAAAAAGACAATTTATTTCCGATAAAGGAAACATTTCAATAAAAATTGTGATACTACAATAAAACAGTGCTCAATCTTTGTTAATGGTATTGTTTGACAGCTATTCTATTCCTGTTTTTCTTCTTTCCATCTTGTTTTAAATCAGTATGTGGTTGGCTGGTTTAAAAATATAATTTGCAGTAATAGATTTTTTTCTAATTAGCTGGCTGCTGGTGTATTATGAAAACAATAGCTTTCTATTTGGAAGTAATGCTTGGCCTGTCTTCTAGGATTGGCAAAATAATTTAAACAAACAAACACATATACACACAAAATAAATGATTGTGATCTTATGACAGAACTTCAAAGAATTCCTAGCTTATATCTGTTCTCAATTTGAAACTGAAAAATGCTGAGTGGGTTCATGTTTCAGCAAGGCATATATGTTCCATCTCTAGCAATGACTGCATTTATCACTCATTGGCTTAAATTTTAGTGCTGATTAAAACAAGAATTAACTATCAGTAATACTTTATTGTTTAATCTAAGGACTAATTTTGTATTTTTGAGTGTTTATTACCTCCTTCAATACATGCAATATTGCTATAGAAGAAACTCAGATGGCTTTTTTCTCTCAAGTAGTTCACAGATTAAAGAAAGAAAGCACATATAACATAATGAGGAAACAAGGAAGAATCACTGAGTTGCTATGAACTATAACACAGCAGCAACAGTATCAGTTATTTACTAAGAAAGGTCTCTCTCTCTCTAGCAGGTACAATTTGCTCTCCATGTAAATTTCTTATAATTCTGAAATGACAGAATTGTTACTCCTTTTCTCACATGAAGAAATTGTGGCCAAGAGATTTTAGGATCTTATCAAGGGCAAATTGATATGAAACATGAGAGTAATATGGGCTGGAAGGGTTGTTGGTGACTTTATGAAGGACCTGAAATGGGGGAACTCTGGAGGGTGGTGGGGAGAAGACAGACATTTTAAGCAGCTAGGTGGAAAGGCATCCACAAAGGAGAACAGCCAGGAAAGGAGGAAGCCCAGGAAGTGAGAAGTGTGGCATATAAAAGCCCTGATGAGAGAATGAGCTGCTGTGAAGGCCCATCCTAGAGTATGAGCCAAGAATATAGTAGACCTTGAAAGTCAAGGCTTTGGAGTGAAATGAAGAGGACAAGCCACTGTAGGGTCTTGTAGAGAGAAAGGAAGGATGAAGACACATTTTAAATATTAGCTTAGAGTGGAAGGAGGCTGGAACCACAAAGAAAGTTTAGAAATGAGTACAGAAATTTCAACACAAAATAAGGAGATTCTGAATATAGGTGGAAGCTCAGAGAAAAGAACAATCTAATACCTTGAAAATAAAAACAACAAAAGTTAGGACCAGAATTTAGAAGTACGAGGAAGAGGTCAAGAACATCCTTTTGACAATGTTGGCATCCTTTCTCTTTCCCAAGGGAATAGGAAAGACATGGGAGAAACAAAAAGGCTGAGGCTTCCAGTCTCAGTCTTGACTCTGTGACTTGTGTAAAGCTAAGACCAAAAGGAACTGCAATAAGTCACTGTTTGAGAGTAACCAACAAAAGCAGAACATGAAGGACAACGAAGGAAGAAAAAGATATTAGATGAGCTCCTCCTTCACGCTGCCTGTTTCAATGTTTTTCTTCTTCAGCAACATGCATGGCAGTGGGTAGGTTCTAAACACTCAAACACACTTTGCTAGTTCTTTAAGTGAAAACACAAAGTATTAATCTGAATATTTCATTTATGAGTTAATTATTGACCAAAATCGCATACTCACTTGCGTAAAGAAACAAAAACATTAAACATCTACTCTTCCTGGAAGTAAACTTATTCATTGAATAAACTTCTCAAGTTCTTTGCAGCTTATTTTGATCCCAGGCAATGAACTTTGGTCAATGTGACCATTATGTTTTATGTATTATGTGAACATGTTATCATACACCAAGTTTCCCTGTATAAACCAGTACAAAAGCACATTTATATCCATGCTATGGAATTTGAGACATATTTGTACTATTTTAAATTATTTTATAAGTTTATTACAATTGTGGTTCTGGTTTTTGATGAGTTGCTGGTGACATGACATGGCTTATTTATTAAGTCCTTTTTTATTAAGGTAATATCCAATTGCAGCCTTGTTCCTTTGGGAGAAAAATGATCCATTTTTTGACCACCAACTTAATTATATAGTTTCTCAGCACTGTGTTAAAAATAAGGGCAGCCTCTATTTTGTGCTGAATTTTTATCAGAAGAATGAACAATATTTCAGAATTCCATTTAAATATATTTGAATGAATCACTTCATAAATCTAATCTAAGACCCCAAATAACAATTTTTCTGTCCAATATGATAGCAAAACTTGAAGGAAGAACTATTTAGAAGAACGTAGAATATACATTATGGAAAATACTATATGACTAATAAAGACTTAAAATAAATTTTTACATCTTTTTTGCCTCCCTTTTAAATAGTGCTTAAGAATAAGAGCACAGATACACATTTGTATTATTCAACAAGGTACTGCTTTGCTCTGTTAATGTAAGTTCTCAATCTAAAGAATAAAAGTTGCTTTTGAAAGAACATACTTCATACAAACATATGATACAAAGTACTCACGGTCTTCATCGGTCTGCACTATGAGTTCTTGACTTTCCTTCCGTCCCTCGGGATTCATGAGGATGAGTTTCACACTGACGTTGGTGTATGGTGACAAGTTAGTGATTGTGTGCTGAGGATGTGAATTATCTGTATCCCAGCTTATTTCTTCTCGCACTTGCTCTTGTCCCGCAACTTGGTAACAGTAGTGGACCGTGAGATTATAACTATGACAACGAGTTACGTTATATCCAAATGGCTCCCAACGGATGGTGATTTGTCGAGATTTGACCTCTACCACTTCCAGCTTTCTTGGGCCACGCATGGGATCTATTTTAAAAAGAAAAGAAGAAAACAAGAACATAAAAGAATTGTAAGTGATCTGATGGAGCCCATCTATCACATATATTCCTACTTATTCCCAACACTTAGTCTCCTTTTCTTCCTGAATGATGATTCCTAAATCCTGCCTGGACAGACAGCCCCAGAATAAAGACTAAACTTTCTGTTTTCTTCTGTGGCCATGCACCTAATGTCTGATGGATGGCATGTAAGATGAAATGTGAAGAACAGCAGTTTCTAGGAGGTGCTCTTTTTTAAAATTTATTTTATTTTGGGGAGGGATACTGGAGTTTGGACTGAGGGTCTTGCATGTGCTAGGCAGATGTTCTACCACTTCAGCCACACCCCCAATCCTTTTTGTTTTAGTTATTTTTCAAATAGGGTCTCACGTTTATGCCTGGGCAGGCCTGAACCACCATTCTCCTATTTATGCTTCCAGTGTAGATGGGGTGACAGGTGTGCCCCACCATGGCCAGCTTTGTATTCATTTGGATGGGGTCTCTAGAACTTTGTCCTGGCTGGCAGTAAATGGTTGAGAATTCAAGGTGAAATAATAAAGCACTGAGAAAGCACACACTTGTAGGCAACATTACAGGCCTTTTGGGGGTTTGATCTGCATAGAATGTTACATGATCAACGCTAAGTTTATGTGACAATGTCCTCGTACTCTTCCTTAGTGCAAGCTCAAAATACAGAGTTTCAAGCTTAGAAATCTAAATGACACACAAGGAACATACACAGTTTGACAAGTTCAAGTAAAAATATACAGAGAAAAAGCTTACACTTTTTAAATGAAATAATAAAATACAATACAACTAAATACATGATAATCATTGAAGATTATATTTATTATGCACTCTTCTAGAAAGTTTATTATTCAAGAGTCTGGGAAAAGCCTAACCTAGAATGTTCAACTTTGGTATATCCCACAGTACATTTCCTGATTTAAATTTTTGTTTTCCTGAAGTATGGTCACCATATATGAATGTAAATAGATCTACAGCTTGTAAGGAAAAATGTACATGGAAATTTGAGAAATAATAGCTACCATTTACTGTGTACTTATTATGTAACGTTGCAGTCAAGTTAAGCTCTATGATTTGACCAGGGTCAAGCCTAGGTTGTGGCACTCAGGTTTAGATGTGACAAGGAAACATAATGAAGCTTCATCACTACTGCGGAGTTTACCAAAGTAAAGAAAATCACAAAAAAAGCAATGAGGACATTAAAGATGCCTAAACATGTTAAATATAATAAAGACCCAATGTATTTAATTCTGAGACAAAAATACTGGGAAGAATTCTCTCTTTTCCTTCCAATTCCATCAAAGATGAGGTCTGGACCACTGTCCCCAGCCCAGCTGAACCAGACAACCCTGCCTAGAAATGTGTCTAGACTATTGCTGAAGTTCATCTCTTCTTTCCACATGCTCCTAAATCCTTGGTGTCTCTTTTCACTACCATTTGGGACCCAGAGAGAACTCAGGACTACCCCAGAGGGGTGAAAATGTTTAAAGTCAAACAATGCTCTGATTTCATATATTCAAGTTAAGATTTTTCCATTAGAAATCTATACAAACTATAAAGTGAGGCTAATAAAGACTATCCATGATGCTCTATTGTAACAGGGATGAGGGACGAGCGAAGGGAAAACTTCCCCAGGAATCCTGAATGGGGTTCTCATGGGTAGTTCCTTATTACTAAATAAACTTTTTATATTTACATTACTACTGTTAGAGAAAATATCATAAATAAGTTGTTTAGAAATAATACCGAAGATTTTTTCAGATTAGTAACTTACAATTTAAAGAAATGTCTAATTTTATTTAATGCTTCATTAGTTGGATGTTTGTAAAAATTTTTAATAAGCTCCACATCCCTTATATATAAGCTGATTTGCATATGCCTCCTTACTCTTTTCCTTATTAATCACAGGTTTCTGCAAGGGCTGTTCTAAAGCATTTCCCCAAGGTTTTCATCAACTTTACTTACTAATAAAATGACTAAATGCTTCCGATATTAGTTTAAACAAGCAGTGCAGTTCTAACTTAATTTCAATGGGAAACTACTTTCTACTGCATAAATTAGTCTTCATCACTTCAGTATTCCTTAGCCAAGAAAATATACTTCAATGAAGTAAAGGGTTCTGTCTGTCTGCTGGTCCAGTTCTACAAATGCATTCCCCCTTCCTTTTTGTTAATACTCCTTAGAATTCCATCATGGTAAAAATATGTCTCAAGTTTTTGTTCATTTGCTAAGAAAATAGCTAAGCCTAGCACAAAACAACCATCTCTATAACCAAGTATCCAAAGTCACTTTGTCATGAGTGGTAATAGACTAGTGAAAGTAGACACAAGAGGTTCAATTCTCAGATGAAGAAGCTGGCACTCACTGATTGACATCTTCAGGTTCCAGGTTAACCCAAGCAAAATTGTCTTATAGAAACATCTACTGAGTACAGATGGCCCCTCACTTAAGATGGCCTGCCTTACAATTTTTGAATTTCTCAAAGGCACAAAAGAGATAAACATTCAGTACAAACTGTACTTCAGATTTTGAATTTTTTATCTTTTCCCAGGATAGTGATATGCAGTATAATCTTCTCTTTGCTGCTGGACAGTGGCAGCAAATGGCACCCCTAAGTCAGCCCAGGAGCCATCAAGGGAAACAGGCTGACATACTACTGTGCATAGGATTGCTAAAGCATGAATGATGTTTGGTGGGTTAGGTGGGTTCAGTGCAGTTTCAACTTAGGATATCTTCAACTTAGGATGCTTTATGTGGAGGTAACTCCATCACAGATGAGGCACATTTATAGTTCCCTTTGTGTCCTTTTTGGGCCTTTGTCAATGGTATAGATTCTACTGCACCTATCGATATGCTGATACCAACATGGCAGGATTACTATCAACAACAGTAGGGATGAATCATCTCAATAAAACATAGGACTAAAGATCACTTTGATTCCTAAACACTTCTCCTAATGTGAAGAGGTTAAGAGTGAATTTAAATCAAACCATGTGGTTCACCAGAGATGTCATTTTCTCATGTCAGGGCCCAAAGGCAAAGTTAGAGAGTTAGGAAAATGGCTAGTAAAATACAGATGTGACACCTGGGGGCTCTGTGGTAGACACATGCCTACAACCCTGGGTCCAATCCCCAATACTCCCTCCTCCCCATAAAAAGCAAAATAATAAAACAATAATAACAATAAAACTAGATACATCCAAGGATATAAGTGGAATCTTGGGTGCTTCTGTGTACCTGTGATAGCGTTCTCTTTTGATATTGCTGACAAGTTGAGTCCAATGACTAAGGAAACCTGACAAGCCTTTCAATTCATCCTAAGCATCCTTTTTTTTTTCTTCTGCCATTCTGCAAAATTTAGGCTGAAGCAGCAATGTAATATAATGCAGTTTCTATAATGCCTGCAAGTGCAGTTAGTGCTTCACAGCATCTTTAGTTTCAGTTTCTGTGGAGCCATTTCTGTTAGTGTGCTGCTAATTGTGAATGAGCTATTCCCCATGGACAGTTACTCTAGTAAGTTAAACTGATGTACTGAAGACTTCATAGGGCATCACTGTATAAATATATCAGACTGTAGGAAATACATGGCAACTTCATAACCAGAAATGTGTAATTTCAGTGGGCTAGTTGCAACCCAGACTGCGTTTTAGGAAGAACAACACAAAAACTGCCCCTAAAACCCTTGGCAGTCCATTACTACCATTCTATGTGCACAATATAAATCTTACAGTTAGATAACAGATTATCTAACTTCACAGGTTAAATTCATAGGACCAGCAGTTATATTTGCTCCTCTTTCCTCACAATCCTAAAGATGCTACTGAGGACCAGAATCAATTCCAAGGCTATCTCTCTTCACATGCACACCCTCAGGCCGCACTGGCATGTCTCCCCCTTCTCTGGAATGGGCCTCCCTATAGGCCCCATAGGCGTAGATCATAAGGCTGGATGGTCACTCTGCGTCCATGGGCTCATGATGAGAAAGAGATGAGAACTGAATCCCTAGGGAGCCAATGGCAGTGGCATTGGAGTCTTAGAGAGCTCTGTGGCATTTTTCATTTTGTTCTCTTTCTGCCAGTTTGAGCCAGGTTTGCAGCAGAGAAGTGTGACAGCTGCAGTCCTGACCTGAGGGACCAACAAGCCCAGTGCTAGCCTCCAGCACTTCAGTATCCTATTTAATCAGCAATCCTGGCTCCTTTGCTGCTCAGCCCCATTCCTCTCTGAATAAGGGCCAAAGCTGACTGATAGGATCAATTTCCACTGCAGGCTCAATTCACAGCTCATTTCTCTGGAACTCTGCACTTTACCTCCTATTACTTCTACAGTGCTTTTTCAGAAACTCAATTTCAGCACCTGTGAGAGATATTTGGGTGTAATTTTAGGATCCTGTCATTGATAATCAAAAACATAGATTACAACCAATGCTCCTGCTAACAGGTTTCCCTTTTCTACCTCTTCATGAACCACACAGAGGTCTATTACAGTACAGGGAATAAGCACTGATTGGTGTGGTGGCCTCTTTGGCACCTTCAGCTCTGTATTTCTGCTCACCAAACTCACAAAAGAGGATGACAACAAAAAAAAGCAATTACTTCATTTACTTTACTATTCAGCTAAATCACAGCAAAGACTTAATTTACTAGTATTATCTGAGCATACCCAATGATTTAATATTCCTAAGCAGCAATAATTCTAGGCACATGGCACTGTTTTCAAGTGTCATAGACATAGTTGTTTAGTTAGTCAAGGCTTTCTGGAGTTAAAAAGCATCTTTGTCAGTTAAGCTGAAAATTCTAAAATATATTAACTTAAATTTACACTACAGTATGATAACTTATAAGAATTATATAATCTAAATAGCTTCATCTACTAGAATACTTTGCATAGATATTAATACTTTCCATAGTTTATCATAAGTCACAACTGGAATCAAGAAATGCCTTTGAAGCACTCGGGAGACAG